AATAATGAAAGCATTTACTAGATAACAATATATCTTTGTGCATTAAAATGTAGGCTGATTGTAAATACCACAACATGCAGATAAAGGAAAAGAATCACTGATAAAGCAGTGGTTTCTAAATAGTGGCTGCACCAGGATGGAGTTAGCCTTTGCTGCTAGCCTTGTCAGGAGCAGGATAGGTGTAAAGAATAAATCACCATGGTAACTGATGTGTTACTGCTTTGTGAGGCTTAATCAGGCAGAAAATCCTGACCAAATCCCTTATCTTGGTTTCTTCAAACAGGCCTCATTATTCTGAGAATCTTTGATGGATAATTTTCTATATCATAATAATAATAATAAAGCATATTTTTGCTTTTTTTTCATGCTTGATTTTTTAATTTTTTTTTATTTTATCTTCATTGATTCTCAAGAAAGTATAATTTTTTTTAAAAAGCGCAGTCCTCCACATCACACCATTTGAAACAAGGGCGTGTAAGCCATTGTATTATTATAGTCTAAAACAAAAATACAACCTCATTTTACTGATAAAGATTATAAAGCAAGAAGTAAAGAGTGTGAAAGATGAAACAAAAAACAAAACAATGAAAAACATAGTATAAAATAATTATGAAATATGGCTGTCATAAGGAAGTGAATTGTCAAGGAAATGTAGTCAAGTTAGGTCTCTAAAAATGAAATCCGATCTTTTAAGTTTTACCCAAATCTGCCACCAATGACAGAAATTGATCAGTCTTGTTATTGAGAGAGGCTGTTATTCTTTTCATATGACACATGTTGTAAATCAAATCGACCCAGTCTTCTAAATTTGTCTGGTGATAACCATTTTCTCGTAATGTTTTTCTTACTTGCTGTTAATAAAATTTTCATCAAGTATGTATTTCTTTTTGAAACTTCTTGAGGAATTATACCAAAATACATAAGCCTGATTTCCATAGGAATGTTCTGCTTAAAAGATGTCTTGCAAGGCCCTATTTATCTCTTTCCATTTGTCCTTTTATAATTGGGCAGTCCAAGAACACATGATGATGATTTGTGTTTTGATTTCTGCGTTTTCTCCAACTAGCCCTCCATTGCAGAGATATATTATATGTCCATTGGTATCTCCACAGTCCTCCTCCCACAGTCTGAAAACATGACTGTTAGGTTATTTGGCTTCTCTAAATTCTCCTTAGGTGTGAGTGTGTGCATGAAAGGTTGTTTGTGTCTGTGTTGCCCTGATGGACTGGTGACCTGTCCAGGTTGTACTCCGCCTCTCGCCTGTAGACAGCTGGTGATAGGGACCAGCACCCCTCACAACCCCAACTGGGATTAAGAGTGACAGAAAATGGATGGATGGATGATATTTCTACATTATTGTCCATCCCTCCTCTGTTATTGTTAAATTGCCCCCTCTCTCATTTTGCTTTAATATGTAGGGTTAATTTGTTTTTTAGATCTATTAGAGTTTTATAGATAAATTAAATATTTTTCCCTTTTAAGTTTTCATGCTTGGTTTTTTTCAATCTGGTTTCTCTCTCAGGCTCGTCAGGATGTTGAGGTGGACATTTACGAGCGACTGCCCGTCCCCTTCGGCCTTGTCAGGTTCGGAGTGGCCCCTGATCACCCTGAAGTCAAGGTGCACCCGCTGATGCTCACCACACAGCAGAAGATCACATTGTTGATTAGTAAAGATAAATGAGACGTAGAAGAAAAAAGTTAAAGTTATTGGTCAGTTTTTATTAAAGAAGTAGCCAAGAACATTGCAGTAACCTTCAGTCGGGGGTGCAAGAACAATTAGTCTACAAATCTGGAATTTCTGAAGATACTTACAAGGAGAATAAATAAATAAAATAAATCAGTAAAAAGGTGTTAATTGCAGTTTGCAGGGCTATACAAGGATGCAGAAAATAACTTTTCTGTCTATAAATATCAGAAAAATCAGAAACCATTACATGCACAGCATTTTAAAACCATTGTGAAAGGTTTTAAGTGCAAATAAACATCTCTTTGTAGTTTATGACGAAGGTAAGGTGTCAGCAAAAAAACACACAACAAGCGTGTTGTTGCAAACCTGCTGACAGCCTGAAGGTAGTTAGACTGGCTGAGTAGGAAAACCGCCACTAAGACAGCTGGGCAAGTTGATTAAAAACATCATGTGAGAGTTTTCACTTAATTACTTTTTGCATGGCGCATAATTCATTTACTACGGAGAGCAAAAAGAAACAAACCAAAGTGAAACCAGTTCTATTAAAACAGCAACTAATAGATACAAAAGCCTAAGTTTGCATAAGTAATCCTAATTCATAGTCAGGTATTTGCGGGGCCTCTAGTTTTGTCTTCTAGCTCCTGAGATTTCATATTTTATGATCTTATCTCAGAGCCTTGATCTGAACTTTGAGACGGTGCCAAACAGGAACTGCGGTCTGTTGCTTTATGGGACCTTTGAGCTCGCAGTCACGGCCAGTTGGCTCAACGTTAGATTTGCTTTGGTGTTTTTTTTTTAGGTCATGTTGCTTTAAGAGTACCGTGCAGAGTGGTGCACTGATTGCAAAACATTTTACCATCCTATAGAACATACTTTATATTAAGCATTGAAGATGTAGCTTAGCATTGTCACAAATTGATATGAAGGAAACCCGGCGATCTAATCAGCAGGCTGAGCAGATGGGCTCCAAATTGTTTTCCTCTTGTGATTGCAATGTTTTCCTCTAAAGAGCAGTTAGCAAACATATTTACTTTACAACTACAGATTAGTGTAAATTGAATATATCTAAAGGAATGCATTGACACCTTTTTTATGGGTTTTTCAGAATGTCATCAACACTTTTACCCAAACAGCCAAACATCCTCGCTGTAGTTTCTATGGCAACGTAAATGTTGGGAAGGATGTGACGATCAGCGAACTGCAGCAGGCGTACCATGCCGTCGTACTGGTGAGAATACAGACTGTATGCAGGCGTGCAGAGATTCCTGATATCCAAACTTTTTTTTTTAACGTTTTTTTTTTTTTTTGTGGCAGAGTTATGGAGCAGAGGGAAACAGGAGGATGGGGATCCCAGGTGAAGATCTGCCTGGTGTTTACTCAGCCAAAGACTTTGTTGGCTGGTATAACGGCTTACCCAGCTGTCGAGAGGTATGTAGAGCAGAGAAATCCACATCTTTTAATGTAAATCAGATCTTATAAGCTGCTTTTTTTTTTTTTACTTTCTGGATTCCTCCTCCAGCTCAATCCAGACCTGAGCTGCGAAACAGCCGTCATTCTGGGACAAGGCAACGTGGCCTTGGATGTAGCCCGAATACTCCTCTCTCCTTTGGATATTTTAAAGGTGAGAAAGGATTTTTCTCCCTTTTTTTAACTAGAAAAAATAAATAATATATTTTAAGTATCTTGTTAAATAGCCAAATCATCCCTTTTCTTTAATTTCCTTTGAGCGGTTGTAGATACCAATATAGAAGGGTTAGAGTCCTTCATAGATCCACTCTCTCTACCAGCTTTTCACATCTGAAGATTCACCCATTCTGTTTCCAGAAAGCTCCAGCTCAGTCAGATTAAAAGGAGATAAACAACAACTTTCAGCTCTACCTGCAGGTTCTCAGCTAGATGTAGGTTTAGACTTTGACTAGACCGTTCTACCGCAGGAATCGGCTTTGATCTAAGCCCTGCAGCAAAATGGTTTTTGAAGGTGTCAGAGTGGAGGAAGTCATGAGAATAAATGCATGCTGGAGTTTTCTACATTTTTTCTCATAAAAAAAAAAGAAGTTGAAAACCATGAATCATTTTTCTTTAAAAGCCACAATTATGAGATATCCTATGATGCATGCATTCATAGAATGTGGTTTTTATGAAACTAAGTGAGAAAATTTTTAAAGACAACCAATGCTTTTGCAAGGCGCTTCATTTAGGCGCTTTAATTCAATGTTTTTCAAATGAAAATTTTAATAAACCCTTAAAAATGTTCTATTAGGCAGAGTCATATGAAGGAACCTGATGGTGTCAGTGATGGTATTAAAACACCTTTAGATTATTTCAGGAACGCAGTGCTATTTATGTGTTTTACCATCTTATAAATATTTTTTTCTTTTTCAGAAAACTGACATTACCCAGCCGGCGCTGGAAGCTCTTGCAGAGAGTCGGGTTCAGAAGGTGCTGATAGTTGGAAGGAGGGGACCCATGCAGGTCGCTTGCACAATTAAGGTGTGTATCATCGGAAAGAGGGGTGGGGGCGGGGGGACAGGACTTTATCAAGAAGACAGATCTTTGTGTTGCACTGAAAGCCAAACTAACCCTGGTGTTTGACCTACTCTTCTTTACAGCGTTGCACCAGAGGTTGACATTTTCAGACTTCTGTAGATTTGCTCTTTCACTATTGTTGCAAGAAAGAAACATGTTATGCAAATTCCAAAAGAAAAACCTCCTCTCTCTATACTACAGCTTTCTAAGTTGGCTTCCTTATATGCTTGCTAGCATGAAAAGTTCATAAGTTACCCTGACCTCCAAAGACTGACCCCCCTGTCTTTATGGGTTTCCACTTATTGGAATAATATCTGATTATAGATTGATAGATTATAGCAGATTAGGAAATGATCTCATCCTTCTCAGAATAACAGGGATGAATCATCGCTTTCGTCTTCCATTTTTGGGGTTGTGTAAACTTCAAACCAAAACTTTAGCTCACGTATATGTTTAGTTAGCATCATCTGGTTTTTTTCTATTCCCTATAATTAATGTAGAAGATGTAATTTAGGAAATGGTTTTTATGCTTTGCTTCTTCTTTTTTGGCTGAATTGTGCCGAATAAACATAATTGTTTGCTGAGTTTTGTTGTAATTGCTTCTCTGAGCTGCAAAAATAAAGAGTCTGGTTTAAACACAGTGAAGTGAAATTCCAACACTAAATATCGGCCAAATATCCTGATGTCATCACTTATAATTGAAGTAGATAATTTTACTTCAAAAAGATGCATGAAGACAATAAATCAGAGGAACCTGGGGAAAAGCTGCAGCCTGGGTTTATTTCTGGGTTTCTGTTCAAAAGCAGGTTGTTTTTGTTTAAAGCTGCTGATGTAGCTTTGAAAACAGAGTCTTGTGGTATCTGACTTCCTCACCTCATCTACAGGAGCTCAGAGAAATGGTGAACCTGCCAGGAACCAGGCCTGAGATGCTGGCAGCTGATTTTGAAGGCATCCCTGAAGCCCTTAAAGGTCAGAGGCAGATAAAGGCTTTTTCATACCAAGTCTGACTCAAGATTTACAGATAATTTCTTTTTTTACCGTCTCAGTTCCCATCACCTGAACAGAAAACATGCAAGTTCATGAGAAAATCTGCGTTTGACTAATGCAGAACATTGAGCCGACATATAAGAGGAAGAGATGCATGTTGTGGTTAACAGTTTAAGCTCAGTATGTGGAGGCCTATGGCCCGTATACTGAGCTGAACGGAAACTGCTGATCGGTTCAGATCGCTTCTGACGTACAGAGAGCTCAGAGCAGGCAGCAGATAATGCTGCTCCGCCGTTCTGCAGCTGACCTTCTGGCCAACAGCTTTTAGCCTTGATGGAGACGCGGCATTGACAAGAGCGATTGCTAAAAACAGTCTCCTTGGGTTCGGCCTCAGGCGGCTTCTCAGAACCTCGACCCTGTAAATAGTTCAGCTTATAAACAGCAAGGGATGATTTTTAGAAGCTGCTGTCTGGTAGCTGTTTGTGCTGCACCTGCACAGGATATTGAAAAAAAAAAGGAAATTAAAATAGAAATTAGTAAAAACAGAGCTGAGAGGCTATAGTTTGTGCACCCAATCCAGTGATTCTCTCTGCTGTCCTCCTGCACTTTCTACTTCTCCTTCCACCTCAATCAGAGCATTAAGGTCCATGAATGGACGCGCCTTGGTCCAGACTATAAAGTAGAACTTTATTGGTGGTTCACTCAAGCTGAGCATCAACCTGCATAACTGACATTTAAATCTCTTTTTATTCTTTATTTTTCCTGTTTTTACTCTGCAAACTGGTTATTTTATATAATTGGTTTATTTATAGTTAATATATTTGGTTGTTTTACTGGAGGTTCATATTTAATGTGGATTATATGTCGACTAGGGTTTAACGTCATTTGAATTTAAAAGGTTCCTTTTCTGATTCCTTTTTTCGATTCTGTTGAGAAGAAGAGTTTCCATGTGAATTAGCTGCTAACTAGAATTCTGTCTGGATTTAGATCTGGTTTAGGGCTGCAACTAAGGATTATTTTGCAAATCGATTAATCTGACGTTTATTTTTTCGATTAAAGGTATGGTGGAGGATTTACTCTACACTATAAAAAAAATTTTCACATGCATAACCATGTACCCGCTCCCAAAAGGGAACACCCATTAAACTCGTGCGAGAGCGTGCACAAGCACATTTCCCCTCGTGCACGCTCTGTTTAAAGGTTGTTGTTTGCATCGCTCATACAAGCTTACTTTCCAAAACAAGATTTGCATTCTTTCCACTATGTCAGACTCACCACTGGTAAGTGAAAATGGGGATGAGCATGTAGGACGGCCTTACGTAAACACATCACCAGAATGATTGACAATTAGAAGGAGCACTTATGGTGATGACCCTCCGGGAAAAAGAACATCCTCCACTTTACCTTTAATAATCGGACAGCAAAAGGTTCCTTAAAGAAGACTTTTTGCTAAATTTAACCAGATAACACTAAACTTTTATAGTTTTTTTAGCATATTGACAGACGAAAAACATTTTTATCTTAAATGAAAAATGTTTAAATATTTTTTTATTTTTTTTTACAATTTTGGTATAATTGGTATAAAAAGGGAACCTACATTTTAACAGGGAAGCAGCCGCTCAAAGATGAGGCTCTCATTCTGACTGGCAGTGATTAATCATGTTGGCTATTTGCCGTCCTTTGCACATCATCATCCTATCCCCAGGGTCCCAGGAAGCTGACTGGTCATAACTTTATTGAACTTTAAGCCACACTTTCTAATGCTGCATCACAGATGGTTGCCTAGAGTGCTACAGATTCTCCTTCGCTGATATTAGGCAGCCCTCTCTCTCTGGTTGAATCTAGGAAATGAAAATAAAGATAATTTAACGATTCCAGGGGAACTGAAAGGTTAGAACCGGTTCTGATCAATCAGGTCTTGATGTCCAACTCTGATATGTTCTCTGTAACCTGAATCTTTTTTCAATTTTTCTTTTGATGAGCTTGAAAACAGCCGTGAATATCAAACCATTTTTCTTTTTCTAACCAAAGATTCTCCACTGAACGTCAGCCTAGCCATGGATCAGGTCTTTCTTCCATAATATTGTTTCTAAAGCACTTTAATGACTTTTTGCTGCCTTTAGCAGTTTTTTTTTTTTTTGCAGTATTCTCCAACTTTTACTTCCATCCATTAACTCCCACCAGCATCCCTGCCTTTGCTGAGGAGAATAATGCAGCCACTACCATGCTTCATTGCAGAGTTGCTGCACCTTGACATATCGTTCTGTTTGTTCTCTTTTCTTTTCTTATCCTACATAACATGTGGTCAACTGCACACCAGACTGTTTTTAATGTCTCTTTTAAATCATGCAGCTGTTCACATCCATCTATTTTTAGCCCTGAAACTTTATCTGATTAACGTGAAAAAAATACCAGCTAAGAAAATCTTTTTTCTAGCCTGAAGATCAGTATTGTACATATGAAGAGTAAACAAACATGCTGAGCTTCTCAGACCTGATCAGTAAATATTTTGGTGAATAACTTAAAGCTTAAAGTTGGTCTCTGCCATCCCAGATGTAGCGCGGCCCAGAAAACGTCTCACCGAGCTGCTGCTGAAGACGGCTCTAGAGGCACCGGGAGATAAGGAGCTGGAGAGGCGCAAAAACGCCACCAAGGTGTGGGGTTTCCGATTCTACCGGAGCCCCACAGAAATCCTGTCTGAGCCGAACCTCAACAGAATGTCAGGTATTCGACTTGCAGTCAACAGGCTTGAGGTGAGCGGAAGGTTTTTTTTCAGAACCTTAGATGACCCTGTAAGGGTTCCTACTTCACATCAATGCTTCTCTTGCTTCAGGGGTCTGGAGATGGAGCTCAGGCTGTTCTTACAGGAGAGGTGGAAGATGTCTCCTGCGGTTTGGTCATCAGCAGCATCGGCTACAGGAGCCTCCCCATCGATCCCACGGTGCCCTTTGACCCCCATAGAGCCATCGTGCCAAACTCTCTAGGCCGGGTTCCCCAGGCTGCAGGTTTGTCACAGACTCCGAAAAAAAAAAAAAACCTTTTAACAAGACTCATACCTCAGTCTGTCTCCTCAGGTTTGTATTGCAGCGGCTGGCTGAAAACAGGCCCCACCGGTGTGATAGCCACCACTATGAACAACAGCTTTGACACGGCTCGATCCCTGCTGGAGGACATGGAGTCTGGAACATTGGACGTGTCTCCTGCCAGAACCGGATCGCAGGTGGTCAGCCGTCTGCTGGAGGAGCGAGGTACCTTCATCCCCCGTTAGCTTTCACATTGATAGCACCATTTTGATAAAATGCAGAGATGAACAACAGCTCAGAACCATGCAAACTTCAATAGAAGAAAAGTGACGTATTAAAGAAACATAGAATATTGTTTTCACTCCTGATTTTCTCCTAAAAAGAAAAAAATTAGATATTATTCCTTTTTCACAATAAAATTTAAATAAAATTATATGTTACATCAATAATAAAATAAAATGATTGATGCAACATGTGTGATTCAGCTGCTCCATGCATTCCTGGATGCTCTAGGAAATCAACCAGAGGTCTAGTCTCTGCCAAACAACAGAGGCTTCTTTCTCTCAGCTCGTTTTGATAAAGGCTACCATCCTGCTAGCCAAGAGTCTAAAGTCTGCTCTGTTTCGATTAACCTCAAAGGCCTCACTCCCACCTTTATGTTAAAAGACTATTTTAAGCTGAACATCCGGTTGAATTGCTGCAGCTGCTCAGCGTTTGTGCTTTTCTGCGTTTAGGAGTGAAACCAGTGACTTTCTCTGACTGGGAGAAGATCGACAGCTTGGAGACGAAGAGGGGCGACGCTCGTGGAAAACCGAGAGAGAAACTACTGACGGTGGAGGAAATGCTGACAGCAGCCCGAACGTGACCAGAACCAGCAGGGGGAGGGGATTCAGGAGGATGGAGAGGCTGCACAGGTTCCAGGATCAGCGGGGATCATTTTCATACAATACAAGAAGGACTTTGGAAGCAGGCTGAATTTAAAGCGGCATCAATTAAACTGTTTCATACTTTAGAATATTTGCAGGAGGTGTAGAAACGTAAGAAAACACAGTAAGCAGCTCAGCATCTGTTTTTACCACAAATATTCACTGTTTGAGATAGATATATATGTTTATAACTGACTGGATTATATTTAAGAGCAAAAAGTCCCACATAAGGAACCACTAAAGAAGGGAACCTCCAAACTAGCATTAATAAAACTAAATCGTTGTTGTTCTAATGGTACCTTTGAAGGTTTATGTTGTTAAAACTGCAGTGCTTTGCAAAAGTATTCCTACCCCTTCAGTGTGTTTGTGATAAAGTGTCTTCTAATGAGAAGTTGGCTGCACTGGTTTTATGCCACACTTTAGATTTTTATTAGTTGGAAAGTTTTGCATAAGTTCCTTCCTGCATGTGTTTGTCCATCGGATGAGAGGAGAACCTTTGGGTTATGGATGGAGTTTAAACCCGCTGTGGGCCATGGAGGTTCCTCAGAGGGAGCTGTGGACAGGAAAGTTGGTCCCTGTGACTCTAAAACTCTGCATGTTTCCCTTTGCTGATTCTAACCTGCAAGCAAATGATTTTCCTTCCGCTTTGAAATTCAACTCATTTGTTTTTCTATCATATAAAATCCCAGCACAGATTAAGGTTTGTGATTCTGATGCGATAAAATGTAAATAAAAAAAAAAATCTGAAAGGGTTTGACTACATTTGCAAGGCTCTGCGTGTTTCTTAGAAGTTTGATGTTGGAGTCGGTTGTAACCTGAGAGTTTGGACCCAATCAGGAAATACAATCTAGAACTGAACCTCTAGTTTTGTTCTCTAGTAATTTGATTCTGGTTTGCTTCTTGTTTAATCTCTGATTTCATCGTTTGTGAAAACTAATAATGTGATTTTGTTCTATCTGGATGTTTTTACATTTTGCAATTAAAGGACTCAAAATGATAAATCATTTGAGTGGTGTTGTGTTTACTAATACTGGAGACAATTCATTATTTGTTAGATTTATTATTCACATGAGTGTCTGGCTGCTCTTGTTTAGATCAGAATCTTTACTTTTTGCTCCAAAGGTGATTAACCTTCAGGTTAACTCTGCCCCCTGCTGGAGGACTTGTTTCAAGTCCCAAGGAGAGTTTTCTTTTATAAAATAAACCCTTAATTAACTAGTTTGTTCAGACTGATTTCCATTGGTCTGTTTTCTTTAATAGTTTAGATTTCCTTGAATCCACTGTGTCCATTAAGCCTTTTTCTGATTTATATAACTGCATCAGTGGGTGAAAATAAAAGGTTTGCAGAGAAAATGTGACAATTACACTTTACACAAATTCAAACCATAGATTAGCTGACAGTTATGCTGTAGGAAATAGACAGTGGATGAAGTTCATGCAGCAACGTACTGAATATAAGCATCTGGATCATATTCTGTCTCAGACTAATTCTGGTCTTAAATGTGTTTAATCTGTGTGTTAATTCTCCAGCTGCCCTTTGAGAATATAAGGTTCTCTGTAAAGTTGAGCTAACCGGTTCCCCATAGACCCACAGTTAAAGCATTTGATGCATATTATATTCGCCTTGGAGCAGAATTCTCCATCCATCTGGAAATAGTTCAAATAACTACCGATTTGACTACATTTTGGGGGAAGCTGGACTTTGATGGTTTGTTCCTTTAGTTCCAGAAGTATTTTTGGACTGATGCAGCCCGACACACAGACGGCATCACGATTCCTCATCTTGTCTTCATTGGACTTCTTTTCCAATTCTTCCAATCAGAAATCCTGAGGGAATAACACTGTTCCAGTCTCCTCCTGTTAATGACTTGTAACAAAACTATTGTCTAAAAGTTTTTACACTACATCCAGATGAAGTAAGCTATGCACCGGTGGCAACACTTTTGGTGCCATTCCTCACTAACAAATTAAAAGAAATACTGATAATGAATCCTTATACTTTAATAATCACAGGACAAGTTAAAAACAATGAGCCTCATAAAACCAAAGAACAGACCGGGAAGCAGAGAAACGTTTTATTTGGACGATAAGAACATAAAGACTCCACGTTGGCATGGTAATAATCAGTATATGCCGTAGGTGTGCTGTTTCCCATCTCTGTATCGATCCAGGTAGCGTAGCGGCTGTCCGTGTGGAAACTTGACTTGTGGAGGATGGTATACTGGAGGTCGGATGAACTCAAACACTGGCTCCTTCATGTCTGAAGCAAAAACATGCAACATAAAGTCAGTCTTTACATCATTAGGAAAATCATATCCGTCATTTCATCTGTATAACTAAACTGCAGATTTGGTTGTTTTTTTCAAAGAAAGGTGGACTCACTGAGTGTGCTGTGAAAGGTGTTGGTAACCGATTCATCCCACTGGCTCTGGAAGAAGGCCAGGCCTGCAGGCGTCATGTCATCCTGATGCTTTCTGTAGAAATCGATGGTCTTAAAGGTGCGATCAACCAGGGAGTGGCTGAGGGAAGGAAACAAACATCACCTTAACTACAACAATATGATGTTGGCACAGATGCCATCAGAGGATACAGCTCTCATTCATAAGGCTTTTAGTTTTTCTACTACATTAAAAACCACAGCAGAGGCTCTATTTGGATAGAAACTCTACTTCCTTAAACAACTTTGTTAAAAAAAACATCTGAGCTAAAAAAGAGATCTGATGGGGCTAAAATCTGACAGCAAAATGCTGTAAAAAAAAGTATTTGAATATTCTTGGACATTTATCAATCGAGTTTATGACAGATTAACAGAATCCAAATTCCTTAGGTTTTTTTCATTAAATAATATGTTTTAAGCTAGTTGTGCTGGATGGGTCAGATGCTTCCGGTGGCCAGAGGCAGGTTTCACACTAACACCTTTAATAACATTTAGCCTAGAAAGTATGTGGTAAGAATGAAATCATACGTGTAGATGGTCTGAACTTGTAAATGAAAGTCAATAATGAAGATAAATGTAGAATTTGTGTTTTGCTCATTGTTTTCATAAATGAATGAGAATACTACGACAGCAGAAATACAATTCACAAATTCACAAATAAAAAATGACATTGAGAAGTTCCATATGACTTTTTTGATTGTTACTCGTAAATTGGTCATTTGTTCTCACAAATTTGGGATTTATTCTCATACATTTTTTATTCTAACTTGTAAATTTTTTCTACTATTATTTATTATTATTTTACTTCTAAATTTGTGATTCTTACTCAGAAATGTGTGATTTGTTCCAGTAAAGTTTTATTCCCATCCCTAAATTCACCATTTTGTGATTTATACTTTTATTTTAGTAAAGAGGCAACTTTCTAATTTGTATTCATAACTTCTAAACTTGTAATCCCATAGATCTAATTCCACGTGTGTCTATCAAATCCCACATTTATTTACAATTTTGACTTTCATTTAAAATTCAAAGCTCCACGCAAACGATATTATTGACCGTTATCTTACCCCATACAAAAACCAACAATCTAACAATCACATCTTGGCAACTTGAGCTGTTAAAAACAATCGGCAGTGTGATGGCAAAACCCAAGGCCACACCTTAAGTCTGGACTTTACATGAACCTTTATTTATTTAATCCATACACATACTTTAGTTTGCAATAAAACTTTATTCTTAGTTCAAATGCATGTGATCTATTTGTAAGCGCACACATTTAGTTCACTGTATTTGTTTGCACTTATTCATAGTTCTTTCTGTTTTTGTCACTAATCTGTGTCTTACCTATGGCACCTAGGAGTTTGGCCAGACAGAAGATGGCAGCCAGGGTTCAGATCTGCTAAATGCAGGAGGGGGAAATTGGACTGTTCCATCAGCTGCAGCTTAAAGGGGGATATGAAATTTCCTTTTCTAATTTTTTGCATTTTTCACTTAGGATTTGTTTGCAGTTGGTGTGTTTTCATTTTTCTAAGATAAAGATTAGTTTTTTTTTTGCCAAACCCAACTGTACTGCCAGTGTTTGTAATTTGTGGTTGTTTGTTTAGTTTGAATTACCCCTATTGTGTTAATGGTCTGATCAGCCAGTGTGTGTGGGTATATATATATACCCACCCTTGTGTCATTTCTTGGGAGGTCAGTTACATTTGTTTATGCAGCCAGTTAGTTTGGGCACAGTTTGCGTGAGTTACATTTTCTTTCTTTTTGGTTGGCCTCTTTTATAACTTGAACCCATATACTTTTTGTAAGTTTCTTTTTTGGGTTACAAATAAAAAACCCTATTTTTGTGTTAATTTTCTGTGACTCCTTATGCTTTTCATCATCGTCCCTCACATGCAAAATCTTTATAGCACAACATGTTAAACCTGTCAATACAATATTGCAAAGCTCCCCTACATAAATTGATTTTTTTAGGGAGAGTTCACACTTTATCCATCATAATATCTGCAATTTGAGATGACATGTTGTGAATTGGCACTATAGAAATAAACTGAATTGAATTAATAATTGGATTGCAAAAAGTAGCCTTAAAAAAGGTTTTATACAAAGTGAATCTAAAGTTTTCCCACTTAAAAGGTTCTGGACAGAATTTATTCAGAGATTATTTTGTTTTTCCCAACCTTGCTTGTTAT